TCCCCAAACAGATGCTTTAAAAATTAATATTCCAGGTTCTTTTAACTGAATTGTTCAGACTTTGCTACTCCCTCTAAAATTACTGATCACGTGGCAGAATACAGTTTTGTCACAAGTGCCTGTTTGGCTGAGTTTGTCCACCCAGTCCCTGAGGCTTGGCACAAGTAACCAGCAGGGCAGTCAACCCGGATTTTAAAAGTGGCACATTGCCAAAACCTCAGAAGTGTGTGTTGGAGATAGCCAAGGAAGTACAAGAAGATACATTTAATAAATGAAAGCATTGTTGGAAAGAAGGCTTATTTAACCCTTTTCTTTCCCTCTTGTGGTAATACATCAGAACAAAATTAGCTCCTCTTAAAATAAAAACGTCATTAATTCAGAACGCTTACCAATCTTGAATTGTCCTTCCTTGATCCTTACAACATTCTGAGCTTCATTATCTGCATTTTACAGAATGGAAAACTGAGGCTGGCCAATTGGGAAAGTCAAGGGAAAGTCTTCTGTCATTTCAGATGTTCATGTCTTAGAATTCATTGAGCCTTCCTGCCTAAAAGTCTGCCAAATTGAACAAACTGTGAATTATTTCTGAGCATGCACAGCTGGGGTTACTTGGCGTGTTCCCTGGTGCGCAGATCAGCCAATCTTGCTGGGCCATGTAAGTGTGGCCTCACCTTTCCGTGAAAGGCAGACGATGTTACCAAATTACTGCCTAAAGAAGATTCCTCCTCCTCCTCCTCCTCCTCTTCCTCCTCCTCCTCCGTGCCTGATTAATCCAGTAAAAGTTAAGGAAGTCACATAGCGCCTTCCTCAGAGGAGCAAAGCTCACGCCCACCTCCAGGTTAGCGGAGCGGCCAGGTGTGGAGCAGCAGCTGACAGGTGCTCTCTCCGCAGGGTGGGCCTGTGGAGATCCTTCCGTTCCTCTTCCTGGGCAGCTGCCACCACTCCTCCAACAGGGAGGTGCTGGAGTCCCTGGGGATCACGGCCGTGCTCAACGTCTCTTCCAGCTGCCCCAACTACTTCGAGGGGCAGTTCCTCTACAAGAGCATCCCGGTGGAGGACAACCACATGGCGGAGATCAGCGTCTGGTTCCAGGAAGCCATTAACTTCATCGGTGAGTGCTGTGGGCGGATCTGGCAAAGGCTTGGCATCCTGGCAGGTACAGGCTCTGAACGGCAGCCTCCCTCCCTGAGACTGCCTTCACACACCCCTGTTCAGTGCCTCCTCTTCCAAGAAGCAAATGGCGTGTGAGCCCTGGTGGACCCCCATCACCTCTTATAAAGGGTTCAGGCAAACCAATGAGGATTGCAAGTGCCAGCGACCCCAGTAGTTGAAAGTGGAGCCTCCCTGTGCAGGGGCAGTATCCCTTGTCCTCTGTGAGCTCCCTGGAGCAGGCCATGAGATCAGGCGAGCCTTTGGCTGCTTGAGCCATGCCTCATTGCACAGGAGGCTGTTTTGGGTGCAGGAAACACCCTTCCCTCTGTCTTCACTGCTCCCTCGGTTGGGATGGCCCACCAAGCCCTGCCGGCGGTCCTCACGCCACTGCTCCACGGGCCGCAGAGATGGCCCGCTTGCGCTCCCCCAGGCGAGACTCCTCTGGCCACAAGGCCCCCGAGGACCCTCGCTGAGCCCGTGCTGCTTGTGTCCCCCAGATGCGGTGAAGAGCAGCGGCGGGCGGGTGCTGCTGCACTGCCAGGCGGGCGTCTCCCGCTCGGCCACCATCTGCCTCGCCTACTTGATCCAGAGCCGCCGGGTCCGGCTGGAGGAGGCCTTCGACTTCGTCAAGCAGCGCCGCGGGGTCATCTCGCCCAACTTCGGCTTCATGGGGCAGCTGCTGCAGTTCGAGACGGAGGTGCTGTGCCACTAGGCGGGTGGCCCTCTCTCCGCGGACAGAGACCTGCGGTGCTCCTGCTTGCATCCCAGCGGGGAGCTGCGGCCCAGGGCACGCGCCAGCGTCCTGCTTCCCCCAGGGCGCCCTGGGGTCCCACAGGCGAAGGGAAGGGGCGCCGCCACGGCCAGTACAGGCTTCTCCCTCTGGCCGTGGGAAACGGCCCGGCCCTCTGAAGAGAACAAGAGAAGGAAGAGAAGAGGACACGCAGCAGCACCTGGGGTGTCCTCCAGCCCCTTTGGGGAACCAGCCAGGTCTTGCCGATCCCCACGGCACAGAGTGGCGAACGGGGTGTGTCTTTCCCCTTCCCACACCCTCGCGGCTTGCCACCGCACTCACGAAAGCCGTGCCTCACCTCCTGCTTCCTCAGCCCTCCAGATGCCTGGGGCTTCGGCTCCCAACAGCCCCCGCCGACAAGGCAGACGGCTGGGAGCTGGTGGCCAGAAGGGCTCTGGGGACTTCCGCAATGTGAGCTCCCGGGGCAGCTTGCTCCGTCCGGACACCCAAGCGAGGCGTGCGACGCGAAACGGCCCGTGCCGTTTCCGGCCTGTGGTACCCGCCTCTCGCCCTTCCTCCACGGTGTTGGGCGGCGCCCTCGCTCGCGTTCCCCTCATTGAGCTCCACAACTTACCTGCGAGGAGGCGAGGCTGTGAGGGGGAGCTTGCGCCAGCCCCGCACTCAGGTTCCTCACTGGCTTGGGCTTCTTGAACCCACGACCTCCTTGCTGCGGTCCACAGCACCCCTGGCCTCCTGTTGGCGCATTGAGCCGCTCCAGGGGCTCACGGCAGCTCTGGCAACCCGCAAAGACTTTGCAGAGCAATAAGAATCGGGCTCCCCCGTCCACGTTTGGGCCAGAGCGGGGCCACGTCTCTGTCTCTGCAGCCCAGCCCTGCTCTCCCCCAGGCATGCAGACTCTGCTGGGCCAGGGGTGATGTCCCAGCCCTTCCCCAGGTGCGCACATCTTCTCCATCTGGGCTTCCATGCATGCCCAGCTGTTCGCAGGCTCCCCCCAGCAAATCCATGGGAGCGACAAAGCCCGCAGGGCTGCCAGCGCGCCACGAGAAGCGAAGCCTGGCCAATTTCACGCAGCTGCGGCTCAGATCACAAAGAGAAGTTAGCTGGCCTCAGCCTTGCCCTCCCTGGTGGCCTCCCAGGCAGGATGGACTGCAGTGCCGTCACTCCCAGCCAGCCCGGCCAGCGGCTGGGCAAGGCTGAATGGCAGGCCCCTCTTGCAGTGGTTGCGGTGTGGTCACCTGCCCGCCTCTCCCTCACGCAGGCTGGCCAGGGCCCCAGGCGCATTCTCGAGGCGCCGCTAAGCTGCTCCATCACAACTGCCGTGAGAACGGGAGCCTGGCCTTTGCTAGGGTGAGGGTTGGCCGCCCTGTCCCCAAACCTGGAAGGGGGAAGGGGCCTGCCCCCCACAGGCCGGGCCGGACTGTCTCTTCTTCGTGGACAACACCCACCGCAGCCAAAGGCACCCCTTCCCAGGCCCCCGGGCGGTGTAGGGCACAATCCGCCAGGCGGTCTCCCTTCCCTTCCACGAGGCTCGACGGATTGGAGTCCAGGGTGCGGTTTGGGTCCAGTGCCGGCCTTCTCCCCCACCCCACTCCCCAAAAGCAATGGGTGATTTGTACATTCTGTTAGGAGAACCTCTTTCTTGACTGACACCAATTTTAAAGAGGTCTTTTGCACTTTATATTTATTATCATCGCCTGTTGCAATAAACAACCAATTTTTATATTGCTGGTTGAGTCTCACAAAATGTTTGCTCGGTTGCAGCTTCCCCATTTTTGTTTGTTTGCTATGAAACTGGCCTGCCTTTGGCAAGCATCAGTGCTGAGGAGAGGGAAAGGAGGAGCTCCTTTACTTCGGTTTACACGCACGTGTCCGCTTTGTACTGGGAAACCCCTCTGGCCCAGCGGAGGCCTCGCTGCCGAAGGGCGGCCACCTCGTACCCGAGGGGCCTGGCCCATTTGCTCCAGTCCTTTGCAAGGTTAAGACAGGAAATCCTGGGTGCTGGGAGGTACCGGCCATTGTCCTGGCTGGATTTCCCCCGGATTGGGCCGGACACTCCCTGCCCTTCCTAGCCTGCCTCATCTCGCCGCCGGTGCGCTGGGCGAAGTGCAGGAGGCCGACGGCGCTGGCCTTCAGAGCGTGCTGCCGGGTGCCTGCCGGGACCTGCCACAGTGCAGCCCCGTGACCCTGGACCCCAGACTCGACAGGCTCAGGTGGCCCATTAGATAACCGAGTGTGAGTTGTGCTCTCCCTTCGTTGCTGGAGGGACGCATTCCTCCCCACCAACCGGCACGCCTGCTTTGCAGTGGCTTTCACAGTCCCGAGATGTTGGGACGGGGGGCCAAACTCTTGGCTACGTTTACAAAATTATATTCCAGGCCGGCAGAGTTTTGCTGCTTCACCATCACGACTTCAGGGAAAAACAGCCCTGTCCCTGCCTGCCCTCTTTGGGCCTCGTGGATTCCAGCCCCAAATACCAGCCCGAGCTGCACCGTTCCAACAGGCTGGTTTATGTTTACGCCAAGGGCACCCGCCTTGATGATCTTGAGATCCCTCGGAGAGCCAGGCCTGGCCTGGGTATCTTTATTGATATGCCTGCTTCAGGGTGGGCAGAAAGATTCCCTCCCAAGGTTTTGGGTTCCCGATGACGGGGCGTTCTGGCAGGGGCTGCTGGGAGCGGACAATCTGGAGATTGGCTTTCCGCTCATCCCCATTCCGTGTGTGAGCTGTGCTATGCCATGTCAGTCTTTCTCCACTCTTGACTGGCAGATGTTCTCCTGAGTCTTGGGCAATGAGGTTGTGAAGACCTGCTGTTACTGCTGCTCTCCCTAAAAATGCACACAGCCTTCCCTAGCCGCCTCCCCCGACTCGTGCACCAGAACGGCCTTCCCCAACCTAGAGCCCTCCAGGTGTGTTGGAGCACAGAGCCAACAGCTTCCAGGCCACACAGCCAGCTGTGCTCCAGTGCCTTTACCAACTTGCACTCCTGGCCAATCAGTCTGTCTTACACATGAATTGCGATCCAGTCCTTAAGACTGCCTACAGTATGTACTGACAAGAGAATATGTTTTTTTAATTGTATCTTATCTGATTTCTTTATTTTCCAATATCCTTTGATTGCAACTATCTCAATTTCAACTGATGGCTGGATTGCATTTACAGCGCAGAATTCTGTGTCCAGACGTTTTTCTTTTTTTAAAAATGCAAGTTTCTAGACCTCATGAACATAAAATTTGCCAGATTTCTCTTGAGTAGCTTCCCCATGCCCTTAACAGTTGTGGAACAGGAAGACATTCCACCGCTGAACTGTTTCCTTGCACTGCTCCCGCATGCCAGGAAAAGTTCCCCTGTATTGCTGAATTCTGCTGGCTGTGGGGAAACAAACATACAAGTTTTGCAGCTGGCAAAAGGCTCATGGCACAGAGATGGAAATGCATGCCGTTGCTTTGCAGGGGGACTGTTCGTTCTGCTTTGCCACACCACTGGTGAAATAACATCACAGAAGAGAAGCACTTTTCCTTCGTCCTCTCCTCTTGCCCTGCACGGCTTGGGACCACCATACCTGATGAAACTCCCCTCCTGACCCCCATCTGTCTGGATGCTACAATCACGTTCTGGGGGCTTTCTCTGGTTGCCACCTCTGGGGGAGGCTCAGACGGTGGCAACAAGGAGAGCCTTCTCAGTGGTGGCACCCCATTACGGAATGAGCTCCCCACTGAGAGCCACCTGGCACCAATCTTTTTGGGGCCAAGTGAAAGCTGCCTTCTCCTGCAGGTCATTTGAGGAGTTCCTGAGACCCACTGGTTGCTAGACAGGGCTTAACAGGGTCTTGCTAAAGTGTAGTTTTGTTTATCTTTTTTTGTTTGGTTTTACATTTTGCATTGCTAACTTTGATGGTGTTTTAATTGGTATATTTTATATTGCTTTTAAATACGCTGCTGTGAACTGCCTGGACAGCATCGGCTGCTGGACGGCATAGAAATTAATTAAATAGTAAATGAGGCATAGGTAAGGACAGTGCGTCCCCCCAGATAATCCAGGCCTGCAGCGACCACTAGCCCCATTCAGGGGTGGGGAGAATGGAAATGTAGTTCACCCGCCTCTTGGGGGCCACACTGAGGGTCCCTGATTTAGGTGAGCCCGGGGAGTGAGCCAGGACTAACACGGATCCCATGAGCCAGCCCGAGGACACAAGGTCTGGTTCCCAACTCTTCTGGAGAACAAGCGCTCTGCTGTGCCCTTCTGGACAGAGCTTTCTGCGTCCAAGACACGCTGCAGAAATGCTCCGCGTCCTCATGCTTCCAACCTGCAGTGTCATGGTCCTTTACTGCAGATGGGGATGGGTTGCCGAAGGGACCTGCTGCTGGAGAGCGGGGAAACGGGCTGGGGTGGCCGATCCCTCTTGCAGCCCTCCGGTGGACTCTCAGATCTCAGGCAGAAACGGGTGAGCTGCCTTGAAGCGTGCTGCTGAATTCTCATTTCTTTTTTTTTAATAAATTTTATTAAGATTTTTAAACTAACACTAAAAACATCAATCATCAAATACATCAGACGTACTGGGTCAGCCCCCCACTCATATTTTTTAACATTCCATAGTCATATTTAAATCCATTTATGATAGCTTAAAGAACATATTTAAATCTAAGCCAAGTCCCGTTTCCCTAGCCAATAATAAAAAGAGTCCCAAGTTTGATAGAAGTCAGTATCTTCTTTCTCCTTCATTGATAAAGTCAATCTATCCATTTCTGCACAGTCCAGAATCTTTTTTAGAATCAGTTCATTGGTGGGCAGTTCCTCACTTTTCCAGTGTTGAGCGAATACAATCCTCGGCACAGTGATTACATGTAAAATCAAATACATTTCTTGTTTACTAATATCCTCCGGTATAATGCCTAATAAAAAAACTTCAGGTTTAAAGGCTAAGGGGTTTTTTAACATTTCCTTGGTTAAAAAGGCTCGGTTAAAAGAAATAATGGCAGTCTCTCTCTGAAGTGGAAAAGTTAGAATATATGGGGAGCAGGGGAGACAAAGAGGCGCTGCTGGAAACTTTCCAGGACCCACCGCACACTCCTGCCTCCGCTCCCTGAAGCCGGGCCTTGAGACATGCTGGTCCTACCAGCTCCGCCTGCCAGGTGCCCCCAGGCAGCCAGAAGTGTTCCATGGCCATGATCCTCATAGAATCACAGAAGAGTAGAGTTGGAAGGGGCCATGAAGGCCATCGGGTCCAACCCGCTGCTGTTGCAGGACACCAAGTCACACCACCCCACTCAGGTGGCTGCCCAGTTTCCCCTTGAATGTCCCCAGTGTGGGGGAGCCCCCACCTCTCTGGGCAGCCGGTCTCACTGCAGTATTGCCCTGATAGTGAGGAAGCTTTTCCTGATGCCCAGCCTGAATCTGGGCTGTCGCAACTTGAATTGATTATTCCGTGTCCTACATTCTGGTATTAGTGAGAAGAGATCTTGACCTTCCTCTGTGTAACAGCCCTTGGGGTACTTCTATTTATTTATTTAAATTTATTTACTTAAAACTTTTGTATGTTGTCCCGTATGCATGGCATCTCGGGACAGCTTACAATCATTAAAACAACAACAATAAAACAATAAATAACAATTAACCAAAAATACAATTAAATAAGTTAAATAAAAGTGACTGTTAAACATTAAAATTGAAATTATTTTTTAAAATAACTGTTAAATAAAAAGGTTTTAACCTGGCACCAAAAAGAATATAAACTTGGTGCCAGGCGCACCTCTCCAGGGAGCACATTCCATAATCACGTCTAGAGGGATACCCCACCTCCCCCAGCCTTCTCTTCTCCAAGCTAAACATGCCCAGTTCTCTCAGCCTCTCCTCACAGGGCAGTTTCCAAACCCCGGATCATTTTTGTTGCCCTCCACTGGACCCTTTCTCATTTACCTGCATTGTTCTTAAATCTTGGTGCCCAGAACTGGACACAGTATTCCAGGTGAGGTCTGACTAGCGAGGAGTATAGAGGAACTACTACTTCTTGTGATTTGGAAGTGATACTTCTGTTAATGCATCCCAAAATAGCATTTGCCCCTTTGGTGGCTCTGCTCCAATCAGGCAATTCTCGAATGGTGCAAACTTAGTTCATCTCCATGACAGGAAACTCTTCCTCTGGAATTATGCTCTGAAATCTTCCACTTTGTTTTAATGTGTCTCACTGGCTGGGTCAGCCATTCAGGGACAAGCCGCCTGTGTTCAGAGCAGGGCTGGGCAGCTTGCAGCCTCCCAGTGTTTTGCATCCCAACTCTCATCTGCCCCAGCCAGCATAGCCATCAGGGAAGGGTCATGGGAACTGCAGGCCCAAAGCTCCGGAGAGCCGCACTTCTGACATGCAGGATGCCTTCAGGGCCAGGACACAAGGGGTTAAGCTGGGCTTCTGATGAGGAGGCCTCGGCCCAGCTGCCTGCCCTCACCTGTGCTTCCTGTAAAGCTCGGCACAGCCTCTCTTCTGGCCCAAGCTCCGGCTGCATCTTGCAAGGTTTAGACGGAAAAGGTCACCCAGAGAGAGGGCAGTGGGTGATCTCAGAGCAGATTCTCCGGCCATGGGCATCTCCCTTGGCATCTGGCCCACCTGCATAGGGCTTTTGGGACTGCTTTCAGGTAAGGCAGCGGTCCTTCTGACTCCAACGGGGAGGCAGGTACCTGTGTGTCTGTCCAGCTCCCTGGCTTGCTGCAGTCTTGGGTGGGTGCCTTTGT